GAAATCCAATTTGTTTAGGTTCAAGATAGTTCACTCCTTCAAAATGTGTTATATATTTTAATTCAGACTATGGTAAAACTTGAGCTAATCAAACTTACAGCAATCAACTTCCCAGCATTCTCTGGTCTCTTCGCAATTTTAATTGCAGCTGCTGTTGCTGCACCAGATGATATTCCCACCTGTAATAGATGCTTCCACAATCAGAGAAATGAAAAAGCAAAATGATAATGAAAATGGTCAAGTCATTAATGTTCCCTGGGAGATTTTTAGGAACTTACAAGCAAACCTTCTTTCAATGCAAGAAGCTTTGCCGTCTCAATTGCTTCCTCACTTGTTACCTGCAGTGCATCAAACAACAGAAATGACAATTAAATGAAACAACAATGACCAGCACAAGCCACTCAAACTCTCAATCAATACAAAAGCAAAAAGTATTTAAATTTCGATCACTTTCTACCTCATTCTCTACTTAATTACTGGACTCATCTTCAGCTTGTTATAATTTTCATGTTTAAACTGTTTTCACTCCCACTTCGAATCGGGTGAATTTTTAATGCCCACTTCTCTTAGTAAGGAACTGAAAATCTACTACTAGACAACTCAAGAAGAGAGTCAAAATGTTACAAAAATAAAGATTATGATGTAATTATACCTAAATTGAGACTTAGTTTAGTAATTTGAATGAAGAAATAAAGTGAAAATATAATGGAAAACTGAACCAAACTAGCCATAATAATAAAATGAATGAAATGAAATGAAATGAAATTCATACATAATTCGGACAAGAGATCTATCTGGAAGTCAAGAATAACAATGTGCATTAGCAGGAAAAAAAATCTTTCTTCAGTAATTATTCTGTGATATTTTGCGTCTTCCATCATTGCTTTATTGATATGTCAATAGCTCTCCCTGTATGGTAAAGCTTTTTGGTTGCTTTTTTTTGAAAGCACTACCTTTGTTTTTTGAAAATTTTTATTTACGATGTACTTTCTTTTATCGTATTTTCTTTATCATTTTTGACAAAAATTTTCAATTGGAAAAAGTAAATTTGGCTGCAGTTCTAAAGTAATTACACAGTTGCTTTCTCAAAGTGAGGAGGAGGCAAACAAAAACCATTAATTAGTTTGTAATTACTTACAGAATACACACACAATCTTTTCAGGAAAGTGGTGTGGAATACGTAAGTATATTTTATCTTCCCAAAACTGAAAAACATTCCTTAAAATACAATATAATTATATTAATTTTATTTGCAAAATACTTTTACATATATTGTTACCAAAAGATAAATATGTTATACGGTATATCAATAATATTTAATCAAAAATAATTTATCAGATGTTGTACTAAACTTTTTAAGACAGCAAACATTTTGTCACAACAATCAAAAGCAAGCTTTTCAAAAAGAAAATTTTCACAGCATTATCAAAAAAGGCTCATATACCTCATCTACTTCAAACAGATTGATGTATCTTAGAAACAGAATTCAAGTTTGGAAGCATTTAAATTATTCTGTAAGTGGAGCTTTAGCTATGGTGGTGATCATCAGGTGGGGGAATTCAGAAAGAATGCAGGCTAGTAAAGGAGACAGGCAACTTAATGGGCATTGTAGAGAGCTAGTAAAAAAATCTTGTTTTTTTTTTTTGGATGCCTGACACACAAAAACCAAGTCCATATCATCTCAGATAAGATTATTTAAGATAAATATTAAGAACATGGAATGGGATTAAAGGCTAAGCGACTTATTTACATCTGAAGAAACCTTATATTTCCAACAACATTTTGAAGTATATGATTTATAATTTTACAAGGTACCCGAGACAAGCCAATGATTTTTTCCACAATCATTTTTATGCAGTGCTAAAAGAGGTGATTACTAAAAGAAAAAAAGAATGGGCCTTACTTGAACAACTTCATCAATTAGACCAACTTCCAGGACACCTGGAATAAAGCCAGCACCTATTCCTTGGATCTTGTGTGGACCTTGACATCAAGACATGCAACCGACATTATGTTAGCAAGGGTAAACAGCTCCTAAATTCCTCTAATCAACAGTTCTCCTTTTACGCAGAAAGAAAGCAGCTTTACATTCAGATTAGAGAAAGTTATGGAAGAAAAAATAGTACTAGCTAAATG